CTCCTTTAGATGCATGTGTACACGTAAAACAGACATTGTGTGCTGTAATGACACAATAGCTATACAATATACACTGTGTGCCGTGGCATATGTTCAAAAATGAGTCAGTGTCATTGTGGAGCATTCGAAAGTGTGCTACACAAAATTAATGCAACCGACAAATGAAAACACACATCAGCGGTAGTTCCAAATATCGCTAATTAAAAAAAACATGACAAAAACAAAAACAAAATTAGAGAAAGCAATAAAGAATATGACAATATTTTGGTGAAAAATCGTGAAAATATTTTTTTATAATAGATTTTCATGAAGAATAATTATAATCAGAGTACAATATTTAGAATTATTTAATGGGTTTAGACTTCATGAAAATAAATAGAATTGTTTAAATCAAACAAAACGAAATGTTGCAAAGCTAAAAGATAAACGACAGGTAATTTTACATATTAGTATAAGTATTATTATTGTTATTAAGAGTGTCGATGTAAAACCGGCCCAACAGCCGGTACTGCGGCCAAAAGAATCCTATTGTACCAATTTCACTATTGATTACACGAAGCTCTTTAAAGCTTTGTGAACAAAATCTAGAACTGAATCTAGAGAAACAGGTTTCTTCTATGCGTTATTAAAGCTGGACAGTCACAAAGAATGTGCATGGTCGTTTCCTCATCTTCGAGGCATAATCTGCATTCCGAGTTAGCAGATAATTGTAGTTTATGAAGGTGATATTTCAGAAAATAATGACCTGTGATGAAACCCGTTATCAACCTTAAAGTACATTTAGAAAATTTAAGAGTGTCTTTGTAGGAGCACGGTGTTATCAGTGCTTTGCTCTGTCTGAGTCCTGGAAAGTTTTCTCAGTACTCCAGCCGCATATGATTTTCACTTTCCCTGATAATCTGTTTTATACTGGCCCAGTTTATTCCACAAAAGGGTTAAGGGCTTATAAAATCAGTTTTTGATGCAGTTCTGGCTAGCTCATCAGCTTTTTCTTTTCCCAAAACTCTCCTATGGCCCGGAATCCAGTAGAGGCTTACCTTATTCCGAGCTGCAAGTGATTGCAGGAGCTGTCACCATACCCAACATAATTTCTTGATTTCATTTCGGTCACACTGATCACCTTTATCATCTTAGACACCTTAGTTTCTGTAGTCACCTAAGTCACCATAATAATCATAACCATAACCTGCGAGCTCTTATACGGTAGCACGATGAGCCAATAATCCTAAGTGAATCTTTAGGATCGACGGTATAACTAAATCTATGAGTTCTTAAACAGTAACACAATGGGTCAATATTCCTAAATAAATCCTTCAGATTACTGGTAACCAAACCTAATCTACTAATTGATATTTCATTTGAACTAAAATGCACTAAACAAAAACGGAATCAACCTCAACCAAATAAACAGTAAATGACAACAAAATTACAAATGTAACTGTAGAAATAGTAAAGAAAAAAAGGGACTTCCATCTATGAAAAACGAGATGAAGTAAATGTAAAACACGCTAATATTTATGTTATTACTTGAACTTTTTGTTGAAATGTTATTTCTGTACTGTCACTAATTCATCATTCTTTCAACACATTAAATCTTCTCGCATACCACACATTCACACACACACACACACACATTTCATCTTGGCCAAAAATATTCTAACCTCAACCTCAACGTCACAGCACTCAACACTCAGAACGCAGGACGCAGGACTCAGGACTCAGCACACATGCCAGGATGTTCACGCTGCCAGCAGTTAACTGACATATTTGTTGTTGGTCTTACGCTTTGTCAATCCAATTCCAAGCATTTTAGTCGAACTTAAATAAGTAATATTAACTGTTCCACAATAAGTCAGCAAATTTTTGTAGCCTTAACAACAGCTGCTGCTTATACAAAAAGGACGCATACCAACCAGGATTTTTTTATTTTGGTTGGTATTTTTGACCAACAGCAACAAAAAAAAACAGTAACAACAACAAATGTGCTGCTTATGTTCATTAAGAAAAATTGTTGGTTTGGCTTTCTGACTAATTCCACTTAAGGTTGCCACAGCTCGTCAGTGCACCACTCCATACTTATCCGTATATCAATAACAAAGCAAGTAAGCAACAGAGAACTTTACATTAACCAATATTATTATCCTGATGTAAGTCCTTTTAATTTCCTAATGTTTACACAATTACCAAAATGTCTGCGTGCATGCTTATTTATGTGGAAATATGTGGAAAGTATACTGAAGTATTTATTCATAGTCGCCTCCCATTGGATTGATGATGAGTACGTTAATTGCTATGTATAATCCTTATTACTTTTGTATTAAAGCACTACTTAGAGAACTTTTTTTCAATTATTACTTTCTTTATTCAGGATACTTTCCCTGATTTGAAGACATTCTCCTTTCATTTGTGTTTATGTGTTTTAGGAAGTTTTAAGTAGTTTAATATAAGCTTAGGTGGTTTATGTTCTGAAAACATACTTCATTCATATCGGAGGGTTTAATATTGATCGAAATATAGCCTAAAAATAAATTTCGGTTTTTTTTAATAATTAATTAATATTGCATTTAATGAACACAAATACATAACGAAATGAAACTCGTGTTTCATTAAGGATAAACATACTTTCAATTATAAAAATAAAGTATAAGAGAATATAAAAGCTTTAATAAGTGCTTATTAATTAATTTAAAGGTTCTTGTTGTTTATTTTAAGATCTATATATTATTTTGACATTTTTTTTAATTATATTTTTTGTCTTATTATTATTAATAAATACATTTAGTTATAGAAGAACTGAATTATGGTATTTAATAGATTTTATATTCATGAAAGCCCTTTTTATAAATTTTTTATACATATTATCTCACAATTAGAACATATGCTTTTAAAATGCCCCATTATAATACATCAAACCGATATTTTCATTCTTAAGTTTTCATACATATATCTTTTTCCAAAACCCTAAAAATAGAAATCACTGAGGAACTGGTTTTCTACGGGCTGGTTTTTTAGAATGCCCTAAAACATTGGCCACCACATTGTAATATACCAACCGATATTTTCATTCTTAAGTTTTATATTTTTTTTGCACAACCCTAAAAATAGAAATCACTGGGGAACTATTCAAGAGAGATAATTTATGCTCAAAATGACCCTGACAGAACAGAACACACTTTATTCGAACGAAGAATATTTTCATCTATTTAAAATTTCTCAATATAAAACAATGGTGACAACTTCCAGCCAAATATTTTCCTCTAAACAAAAACAAAGTGGAACAATTGAAGAAATAAAACCAAACTTTTATTGAGCTTCCTCGCAGACTCAACATTCTAATTCTACAGTCAGACTCAGCTGAAATCGTGATTTACTCATCAGGTCAGGATGATCCACCATATTGCTTGCCAATAGCTCTCTGATCTAATCTTCTTAAAAGAAATGTAGTTATATTGTCAAACTCTCTGGCTTGGCGATTATCTGGAGTGTAAATCATAGAAACAAGTTGAGAAGATCCCAACTATCAGACTGTCAAAGACTTTCAACTGAAACCGTATTCCATTTACCAGTTGATGAAACATAAGAACATTAGTGTTTGAATTTTCAAATATACCAAAGCTAATAAAGAAAGCTTAGTATATTTCAATTAGAGGTAATGGTGGGGTAAAAAGTATTAGGACTTTTCAAATATGTACGGCATGGAGACGGTTGCTATATCCTTGATTAAACAATGATAGAGTAGGGGTAAGGTGGTCCATTTCTTTAAATTAGAGAATGAAATATCGGCAAGGTTAATAGGCAAAACTTAGAAAAGCTCATTGGAAATTTGTTCAGTGTTTGGCATGTCAGTTAAGAGATTATGATACCTTCTTCGATATAAATATCTACACTCAAAAGACACCAGTTGTTAAAGCAGTCTTTCTAACTAAGCAGTAGAATACATAATTGATTAAAGTAGTGGTGGCCATTGTACTTGCAATTACATACGAAGAACTTTTCTCTCAAATAAAAAGCATTAAATTTGAGCCTGAAGAACCTATCTAATTAAACTTTTTCTAATTAAATATTTAAAAATATTTAAAAATAAATAGTGACAAGAGATCATATACATTTTTTATATGGCTATCCTCTACGTTCCATTGTAATCATTATTTCGTAATTTATTACGTTTTAAGTCTTACAAATTAAGTTTCAGATTTTTATGTAAATAGCCGTTAATAGTACTATTAGTCAATGTGACTTAACACTGATTGATTGATTTCTTAAATCGAACTCTCAATAGCAACTTTTATTGACTTATCTTATCTCCACGTAATCTTCCCTGTCAATATATATGTTTAAATATATATCTTCACTCAAAATCATAAAATTTTTAACCATGTCTATCCTAACGCAATATTCTTATAATAAATAAGGACCTTTTAAGCAGAAGCGCAACAAGTTAATGCTCACATGTTGAAAAAGTCTGCATATTAAAAACATTTTATGAACTTCCACATAATGAACTCATACATAAAATAAATTTATTATATGAATTACTATAATTAGTTACTGTGACGCAGCTCAACTATGTAAACACAACTCTCGGCCCAAGTGAAAGGTTAATAGGCGGCTCAGTTGTGTTTGCCGTTTCGATGCGGTTTCCGTTCGTTCGTTCGTTCGTTCGTGCGTTGGTTCTGACGCTGATGCTGATGTTGATTCTGCATATTGCTAATTATTTTACTGTTGACACATAAACAGCAACATAAATGTTGGTTATAAATGTTGATAATAAATGTTGGTAATAAATGATGGCAATAAATGCTTTTCTACGACTTTCATTAGTACTGAAATTAAGCAAGAATTTATGTTATTTAGGCTCACATTTTTCGTATACACTTAAGTTGCTGAGAAGAAAGAACTCTTTTTTGGGGAGGAACTTTGACTTTATTTCGATTGACTTGAAATAATGAAATCATATTTATATTCATATATTTACCCATTTTGTTTTTTTTTCTTTTCAGATGTTCATTTTAATTATGCTTTGCATCTGTCAAATTTAACTGTGCCGCGTATCATTGATGCTTCGCAGAGGGCAAAACTTTTCTGCAGCTATGAGATGGGCAACTGCACATTGAACTCAGTCAAATGGTATAAAGATGGACAAGAATTCTTTAGGTAAGATTTGATTTATAATGTGGTGACGCCAGTAGGCTAGGAGTTTATTGAAATTGAAATGCAAAATTCAATTTCAAATATTTTCAGTTTTTTTAATTTTGTTGAGAAAAATGTTTCTAATTTCGTTGTGAAAGAAATTTGAATGCAGTTTGCTGACCGTTGTAAAATATTCGTGTTTTTGTTGATTAACAAAGTTTGAAGTCCTTTATTAAAATATCATAAGTTACAACTTTTATTATCAATTTGTTTGATGTAATATATACAAGTTATTATAGATGATTTACATAAAAACCTCATTCTGGAGCATTTTCAGAAATGGAAAATAAAAATCAATAATGAAAAAACTAAGGCTCTGTTTATAACGCGTAAGTGGAGACAGAATCCGTCGAGAGTGAGAGTGGGTGATACGGTGATAAACTTGAAGGATCAGGTTGTACAAACGATTCACATGCCTTAAACATGTTCAACTGAAAACAATTAGTTGTGCCAAAATTCTTGATTACCTCCAACCGCTATTTAGAAATGAAAATCTCAATGCTAAAAACAGGAAACTAATATATAACCAAATAATTCCTGCATCACTTCTATATGGTTGTGTAGCGTTTAGCAAAGCTTCAAACACTACTATTCACCAGTTAGAAATTGCACAAAGCCAGACTCTGAGAAGACTTTTCAAAGTTCCATGGTACATTAGGATGAATGACATCCTCATGGACATCAAGATTGATACCTTAAAAAATACATAAAGGAGAGAGCCCTAAAATTATTTGCGAAATCTGACAGACTTACCAACACTGCGTTATCAAATCTCAGAATAGTTACAGGCTCCTCGGGGAGATATGCAGATTTGATGTCAATAATTGCTTAGTCTGATGAAATGATAAATAATAATGCAATCAAGGCGTAAAGAGGGGTTATGAAGATACCTGGAGTTAATAAAGGGTGAAAGTACTCAAGTGCACTGGCTTAAATAGCTCCAATATAGACCATGCCTCAAAACGGTTTTTCGCAGCAAACCATTCATCGAGCCAATTTCTAGTCAATGCGCTAGTCAAAAGAGTATAAGTGTTTAAGTGCACTAGCTCAAAACAGCTTCAACATTATACAAACAGAATAGTATTAAAATCTAATAATTAAAACTAAAATTATAATTAATTAATTCAATTATTCTACAGCTGGTTTATAATTTCGTTCTAATATAAAAACAGCAAGTGAATTTTTTAATAAAACTTTCATAACAAATTAACAAAACTCCAGGAAAATGTGCGAACATAAAAGTCAAGTACGACTTTGGATCAGTTGGTTAAGGGCGCTGACTCTTAGCTTCAAATTTGGCAGGTTACGAAATCAATTCCTGATACTTGCAGTCTTCAAAATATAAAAAAAAATTATTTACAAATACTTAAATACAAGAATTATTTCCAAGACCACTGATGTTGAATATTTGGCAATACTCGACACAGCTGTATAGGCAGTCAAAAATTCAATTAATTTAAATAATATAAAAAAAAATAATTTTTGTTGTTGTCGTTTACTACTGTTCAAAAAACCTTTTTATTTGTTACATATATTTTTGTTTTAATGTTGAGGTATCGATAATGCCTAAATAGTTTATTTGCTAAAGGCATAATTACATATTTTATTCTAATTCACATTTTAATTATTTAACTATTGAAAGCTACAGTCCCTTCAGTAACATATTTTCTCCTAATTCCCTATTTATATAATTCAATGATGGTATTCTTTGCAGCAATCGCAGTTTTTTATCTCTTAAAATTTTATTTCATTTTTAATGTAAATTTTCTCGTGATGATACAAAACAAAATAAAAATAAAAAAATAAATAAACAGTAGAAAAAAATTATGCAACCAAATCTAAAGCACCACAACTGAATCCCTTAAAATGCAGACAATCTCTCTACTATCCTGCAATTGAAAACCTCAAAAATAGTGCAAAATCTATCGAAATGCTTGTATATTGCAAAAACTACAAAAACTAAGTAATACTAAAAACAAAAAAAAAAAATTTAATCAAAGATTACGTCATTTTTGGCATGCGAAAAAAAGGCAAAACACTGCTCCAGCCGGCAAAATCAGTGAAAATCCTGCTTTCATCACTCGCCGCCGCCGTTGCCGCTGCCGTTGCCGCGTCAGGCAAATAACGTAAATGCAGAAAAAAATAAATAATGCAAGAAAAATAACCATAAAAAGTTGGAATGCCGAAAACTCAAAAAACCCGAAAATTCAACAAAATTAAGCCCAAAAACTCGACTGAATTCACTTTATAAGCCGCAAACTGAAAGGCATTTTTTGCCGACTGCTTTATTAGGCTGCGTTGGCATTTTGGCTTTTTGCGCTTTCGTTAATACGTGCGAATTGGATTTTCTGCTACTTGCCAACCAGCGAAACTACGAGTTTAGCGCATTTTTAATTTGCAGTTTTTATGAATTTAAATTTGTTGCATTTTTGTGTGAAGTTTTTTCAATTTGTGCCCATAGAATTTATTATTTTAATTGTGCAAATTTAATGTCAACATTTTTTTTCAATTTTCTTAACTTCAATCTAATTTTCCGCAATAATTTGATGTCAATATTAAACAATTTAAAAATTAAAAGTAATTGTGTTTATTCATTTACAATAACTTACAGTTTAATAAATATAGTATTATATAAAAATTTATCTTCAGCAATTTTTAATGAATTTATTTAACAAATTGTAAAACAAAACATTTTAAATCAATATAATTGGACTACGTGTTAAATTGGTAACTCCTGGCGTATGAGTGACTTTTTGTGTGAGAAATGTTTGCAGTAAAGCCTCAGCGTATTCGAGTAAAAATAAAATTCTTGAAAATTTAAAAAGCTTGAAAAACATTTCATATTTTAGTTAGCATTTTTAGAATTTTTATAAATAGAAAGTTAAAAACTTAAAAAGCTAAAATAATATTTAATGTTTAGTACAAATTTTTGGAATTCCTATTAATAAAAAATTTGAACGTATCATATACCTGAGGTACACGAGGTACCAAAATAAGCATCCTATCAGACAGCCAAGCTGCTCTAAAATCTTTAGCAACATACTCATACCAATTAAAGTTGGTCTGGGAATGCTTTCAACTTCTCAACACCTTAGCATCGAGGAACTATGTTACTCTTATGTGGGTACCGCGACACGAAAGGCATGAGGGCAATGAAATAGCAGACTCTCTAGCAAAGAAGGGTGCATGTACTCCTTTCATTGATCCGGAGCCTTTCTGCGGGGTAACAAATAGCTTCACAAATAGCTTATTATGTGAACGAGAGAAACAACATCTACTTGAACACTGGGGAGCCCAAATAGGCATGCAACAGCCAAAAAGATTCATTGATCCTGAACACATTAAAGTTGATGCTATCATCAACCTTAGCAGAAATGATATCAAAATCTACACTGAACTTCTTACAGGACACTGTAGACTTAATTACCATTTGAAGATTATAGGTGTGATAGAAAGTGACTCCTGTCGACTCTGTCATGAGGAGAAGGAAACATCAGAACATATTCTATGCTGGGCAGTTCAGCAGTGACAAGACGTAGACTCGATTACCTTGGAAACGGGATATTAGTCCCAAGTCAAATAGGTAAAATTAAGACCACAGCAATTACAAGATTTATAAATAGTCTAAAATTGTCCTAGTTGGGCCTTGAGGCGCACAATAGAACTTTTAGGTCAGGATGCTTTAATAGCCTTACAAAAAAAAAAAAACTGAAATAAAGAACTGAAGTATTCCTTTCAAACCTATTTTTGAAATTGTTAAAATTATTACTGAGATAACAACATATATACGAATATCAGCACTCAATTTTATCATTTGATGTATTGACATTTATTTTATTTTATTTTATTTATAAATTAAAATGTTATTTATGTATGCCAAAGAGCAAACGTATTTGTGGATAAAATTTGAATTAATTTTGAATTAAGGTACATACATTTTCAATTTAAAATTTTAAATAATATATAATATATATACATATTTTGTTTAACTACTCTTTTAATTAACCCCTTGATACCCACTCCATAAATGCATATTAATATAAATCTATATATATATAAATCTATATAAATATATAAATATAAATCTATATATATATATATATATATATATTTATTTATTTGTAGATTTCAAAAATTTTATTTTAAAGTAAAATATATTTTCACTTAATTTTTGTGAAAATAAAATAAATTTCAACTTTTGATTTTATTTATTTTTAGCAATTTATAGATATATTTTTTCATCTTACAGATTATTCTTTACTTATTTATTTTCTTTTTTTTTTATTTTTTTGAAATGAAATTTAAAAAGAATTCATTTATGCTTTGCAGATATTCGCCACTAACCCCGCCGACAACAAATTGGTTTCCTGTCAAAGGTGTCACCATTGCAGATGGTTCGTCACATTGCAATCAATTCCTGTGCAATGTTGAACTCGAGAAATTGAATGTACACTCCTCAGGCTCATATCGTTGCGAAGTATCCGGCGATGCGCCCGAATTTAAATTGATTGATAAAACAGCAAATATAACAGTTGGCAGTAAGTTTCTGACATATGCAAGTAAATTTATATTTATGGACCTGCATACACGTATATACAAGCATACATACACTGTGAGTGAAAGTATGAGTATCTGGGTTTGTGTTCCGTTGTTGTGATATTGTGATACTGTGTTACTGCGATGGTAATGAAAAAAAGCAATGAAATGAAAGTACATAAATAAATAATGTATAAGAGAAAAAATAAAATAAGAATGATATTATGGATTGATTGTGTGACTTACATTTTTTTTTTGATTTATGTCCTTGTAAACAATGAAAAAAAACAACAAATTTTATTTAATTTAATGTATTTGGTTTATTTTTGTATGATGGACCACAACTTCGAATTACTTTTAAGAATTGATTTTTTAAATATTTATTGAAAAAAAAAAGTTATAATTAATATACTTTAAAACTTGATATCAAATATTGATGATAACATTAATTATAATAAATACCTATATGATAATAATCCATAATTAGCTTAATCTATAATTATCATAAGATTACCTATACTCTTATTATCTATATCTGTAATCTATAATCTTATCTTATTAATACCTATTACGATTCCTGACTTAATATTTTTTGTTTATCGAATCGTATTTAGTAATTTTATATATAATTCCATATCATTTTAAGCACAAATACATTGATATAAATATCGTTGAGACGTTTTAATTGCAATGGCAATAGATATTTCTCTTTAATATATATTGAACAAATTATACATTATATGTTCATCTTACTTAGATGTCATCTAGTTCCTTATTGTATTGAGTATCAAAAGTGATTTGTGCTTTGAGTACTTAGTCAGTATATTCTCATTTGATTTCTTTTCTCGACACCAATAGATGAAAAATAAATAATAATTATCAATAAATAAATCACACTTTTCTGACTCTTAGTAGATTGCTCAAATAAATACTTTTTTCTTCAATCGTATGTATAACACTAGCACTTAAAAGCCATTGTTAAGTACTATTCCCATATACTTCACATGCGAGTTCTTCAACTCAATCCCTACTGACATTGCATTACTTTCGTGATTTATGATTTCTTTCTTAAACGTAAAGAAAGTTATCTATTGGAATGTCATCATCACTGGAGATGAAAAATAAGTTAACTAAATTACCAACAACAATATAAAGCACAAGAGATCATAGAATAAAAACATGAACCGAATTAAATTACTTTAAAACGCGATATTCAACTAAAAAAATTAATAGTGTCTGTGTGGTGGGATTTTAAGGGAATCTTTAACAAATAAATTTTTTTGTTCCTTCTACCGGATGTCTCTCAATGTTGAAGTATACTGTCTTTAACTATACAAATTAAATAAATTGTCAAAACGGAAAAAGCTAGAATTAATCAATAGTATTTTACTAACATAATGTGAGACCTCACACAAGTTTAGTAATTCACTTGAACACTTTGCAGTTAACATGGATGAAATATACTGTCATGTGCACCATAAGCTCCAGCTCAGATACCGTAGATATTCAAATTTTTAAATGACGGAGAAATTTTTATTTGATTCTAATGACGGATATTTCAAAATATAGCTTAATTCGAAATAAATCTCCGGGTAAAAAAGACATGAGTCTATGGAATCTAAAAATCTAAAACATTCCTACTATCTTTACTAGGGGCTGATTTTACTTAACCGATGTCAAATCCTGTGCTCAATCCAAACTCAGAGTCTTGGAAGTAAAGTTAATGAACTAATAGTGCCACATCGAAGCTGTACGATAACTTGCATTAAGGACGACAACGATTACGTTGACATATTCCAACTTAAATGCAAACAGACACGTTATCTTGTGTAACCGCTCCTAAGGGCCCACTGTTTGTCTTTAGAATCCATAAAAAAAATTCACAAAGCTTAATATGCATTTGTGACATTATCAAAGCTTATCTTTTCTTGTTAAATTAACAATTCTGCAAAAATTATATATGTCAGTTAACTCTACTCTATTTGTTTGCTAAATATTTCCATAACCAAAGGTAAAAACCTTTCTTATAACATTGTAGACCGATCAGTGCTAAGAAATACGTGACATATGCCAGATTTTAAAACATATTAACTTCATATGTAAAGGTAACTACTATGTTGCAAAAGTCTCCTTCTTTACGATCCATTAACTTGGACATCCTTCCGCTTACCAACAACATCAACAACAACAACAAGAACACCAATAACAGCAAAATTAGCAACAATGCATTAAACTCAATTTACAAATCGCTTCATAAAATTATAAATGAGTTCCAAAAGTAAACCAAGAAAATAGTGACGCTTACAAAGGAGCCGGAAGCGGATTCATTTATCATTGACAAGCAACATTTACTACACGCCCACCATTTTGTCAGGTGCATGCATGTGTTCGTGTTCCAACCATCATAGCATGTGGCCTAATGTATCTACGCAAATCTCTGTGTGATGTCTGTGGCTATGTTATGGCACACTGACACTGGCACTGGCACTGGCACAAACAGAGGCACTAGCACTGGCACTAAGTTCAAAGTGCGCAAAATAAACGCAGAAAAATTGTGACACGCATTTACCATTTGTATGAATAATGACATTAAATAAATTCTACGCCAACAACATAGATACACACACATACATCTACAAAAAAATGAACATTTACATACTATGTGCCACAACACTTTCTGTCAATGTACGTATATATACTCGTACTTTCCTAATGGCAAATGGCAAAAACCGTATCTAGTAACAATGCGATATTTTTGTTTGTTATGCTGAGCACTGCGTTTTCTACTTAACAAATTCGTATCAATTGTGTGAATTTTGTACGAATCAATTTATAATCTCTAGTAAATTCAGCAACAAAAATGTCGCATGCTGCTTTTATGATGTCACGTGCAACACAAATACGTACTTCAGATACTCGTACATTTCACGTTGATGTCGATGTCTCATGGCTCTGTTTGCCTGTGTGCCTGGGCCTGAGCCTGGGCTTACTTCGTTAGCGGTTGTTGGTAATGTCGGTTACCAGTGCCATCGACAGAGGATGAAATGATGAAATTGAATGATTTAAAGCGCTGTATTTTCTTTTCGAAATTCAAATCAATTGTTGTCGATGCGCTCCTTAATGTCATTTTCCAAATGGCCTCCTTATGTCGTCAATAGCATAAATGATTTATACCGCATAATTTTATGCTTTCTTTCACAACAAAAATTTTTCAAAAATTATTTCATTCTCTTCAAATAATGATTTTATGGCATTTTTCTTTACCAAAGTTAAGTAGTAAGTCATTTTTAAATAATATTAAATGCATTGTATTATATTTGAAATACATAGAAGGTATTTTAAAGATACTTTTTAAGGGAGTATTAACAAAATAAGTATTAAATTTACTTCATAGTTTTAGAAAATTAAATAGTAAGTTATTACGTTATTACGTTATTCTTGAAATATATAAAACTATGTTAAAGATATTTTTTAAGTGTTATTAAATGGGTTTATTTGAGGTTATGTATTTACTTCATACTGCATCCAAGTTAAATAGTTAGTCATTTATAACTAATATTAAATACAATGTGTAATTTTGTATCCAGCTCTCTCGAAAACTCGACAAAAATACTTGGGGGCTGTCAGTTTTAACGGACTGGAGCATATACCGAAGGTTTCTGTTGAAATCGTAAAAAAATTCACTTAGAATATGCGCATCCTAAACAATGGACACTATCGCTAAAAACTGAAGACTCTGATCTGGTATCGTAATGGACCTTAATGCGTGACCGTTTTGGTCTGCTAGCATAACACCACCTTTATTTTGTATTTCCGTATATTATTATAGTTTGTTTTATATATAATTAAACCCATGATATAATGATATATAATGATATAAATGATATAATGAAGATATTCTTTAAGTGAACTTCGGTAAAATGATAAGGATTTAACATATGTGAAATAAAATCAAAATCCTAAAAAGTTGTCATAAAATTGTGAAAATAAAATTAAGTAAACCGTTTAAATAATAAACTAACAATATTTATTTATTTTAATTAAAATACAAACCATAACATTTTTAGTTGAAATTAAAATATCTCTTAATAAAATATTAAATACCTCAAAAAAAGAAAAAAAAACAGAGGAAAAGGTATACTGATTATAACTTTTTAATTGACTTTATGCTTGGTGTCAAACACAAGTCAACTTAGCTTCAAACCACATTTTTTCCTTTCGTAAGGACTTTTGTGACCCATTTCAAATGTAAGTCAAAGTTTAAGAACAATAAACTTTCCATGCAATGCAATCAACCTATTAAATGGAAACAAATGGCAGACAAAAAATTTTCACACCAACAAGCACGAGACGACCTCAATATCAGAGCACACGACGGCAACTCTGAAGATTATTTCAAATGTTAACCCTTGTCATAAAATTTTTTTTTATTTTTTTTTTTTATTTTTTGTTTGGTTTAAACTCATCATAAGATGACAGCTAAACAAATTGCTGAAAATTTTTTATTAAAATTAAAAATAAATTAAATTAAAAATTAGGCACTTAAAATAATGTACTGAGCGATTGTATTGGAGTGTTAGTATCCTTATTTGATTGTTCGATTTTCAAAACCATTTGCCTCTTAATATATTTAAGTTCCGATGAGAAAGTGGAGTAAGTTATTCTCATAATATTAAACTTAAATTTCGTTTAAATATTATTATAATATTATAATTATTATATTATTATAATTATTATATTATTATAATTATTATATTATTATATTATTATAATTATTATAATAAGCAATTCCTACCGTAATGCATTTTATTTTGCCTTGGTTTTCATTTTTTTCTTCGACAAATATGGTCCTTTATTCTTGATTTCCTCATTCAATCGATCCATTAATGTGTATCCATTAATGTGTAATATTAGTCTGATGTTATTCTTTTTTTTCTTCCCAAATAGTCTCTTAAATTTCAAAATACGTAAGCCAAAACTTTTGCAATCTGGTGTTGAGTTCGTAGTCATTTACCCCTGGGCTCTACCCTTTGGCTAATTGCTTTCTCTCAGGTGTGAAGTAATAGATCCATGTTTCGTCAATTGTCACTACTCGTCGCTCATAGTCAGCTAGATTGTGCATAAACATTTCCAAATAATTAGACGAATTCGAATAACAAGAAAAGACAAAAATTTTAATTAATTTATTGAAATTCGGTTGACCACACAACACTGTTTCGATTATTGTCAAATACTCATTATCAGTGGTGTTTCATATGCATGTAAAATAGTTAATGAAACATTTGATATGTTTGTCATCTCTACTATCTCTTTCAAATTAGTTTTTGGATCATCCAACTCAATATCGTTGATTTTTTCAATGTTTTTTTCAATTATAACCTCTTTTGGACGACCTAGACATTTTTCATCAAAAACATTCGTACAACCGCGAGTTTTCCAAAATTTTATTATTATTAACGATAGTGAAAGGTTGCCATAAACAGAATCCGTTTCCAATTTGATAGCGATAACCAAGTTTTTCTATTTTATAAAAATCAACATGGTGCACTATTTCAATTATTTGCAAAAATCTAATCAAAAATCTAACTAAAACATCTAATATAAATTATTTTTTGGCGTAATTACTAAACTAAATTTTTTTTGCAAATTTCTATTATAGAAATCAGTATCAAATCATAGCCTGAATATACATTACATATGCTTAAGCGAAAAAGGTCTCGTTTTTTAACAAAAGTTTTAGTAAAAGTCAAAAGTAGCAGAACTTGTACCTTGTAAACTGAAGTAACTCCATTTATTTATTTTTTCCTTTTTTTGTTTTATAATCAACTTGACACAATATTCCCATGTAGAATGTTGCACTGTCAACAGCCAAAGAACAACAGCATCATTTAACATCCTAAGAGACTCCTTTGCCGGTTTGTTCCATTTAAATTTGTATATCACATAAAAGGTTAGAAAAACATAACAAACAGTAGTAAAAACAGTATGAGAAAAAGGCAGCAAATCCAAACCACAACAGCAAACACTGGTGACCGAAACGCAGTGAACAACAGCCAAACAAAAACAAAAACAATAAGGAATTAAATGACACTT